CACCATATAAGCAGAAAAAGCCAGAAGTGGCACTATGTGGCTCAAGTAGAGGAGAGCTAGCCTTGAACTGAAGAGCTAAGGCAAGTGCCCAGGCCCAGAGTTCAGGCCCATGACCAACCAAAAAAATAGCACAAAAGACTCTGAAGAGCCAAAGCAATTCTAAGCAAAAGAACAATCTTGAATTTGTCATAATAGCTGATTTCAAATTATACCACAGAACCACAGTTACAAAATAGCACAGTATGGGCTGGGGGTGCGGCTTAGTGGTAGAGTACTTGCCTAATATGCATGAAGCCCTGGGTTCAATTCCTCAGTATCACATAAACAGAAAAAGCTGGAAGTGGTGCTGTAGCTCAAGTGGCAGAGTGCTAGCCTTGAGCAAAAAAAAAGCTCAGGGACTGTGGTCAGGCCCTGAAGCCCTAGGACTGGAAAAAAAAAATTGTGTGATGAAGTGAACAATTCTCAAAACAAGTACAAATGGCCAATAAATACTTGAAAAAGCAGCGCACCAGTGGCTCATGCCTGTAATCCTAGCTACTCAGGAGGCTGAGATCTGAGGATCACGGTTCAAAGCCAGCTCAGGAAGGAAAAGTCCGTGAGACTCTTATCTCCAATAAACCACTAGAAAAAAAAAAAATCGGAAGTGGCATTGTGGCTCAAGCAGTAGAGCACTTGCCTTGAGCTGAAGAGCGCAGGGACAGCACCCAAGCCTAGAGTTCAAGCCCCATGACCGACCAAAAAAAAAAAAAGGGACATGTTGAACTGAAACCCTTTTTATAAAAAAAAAAAAAAAAAAGAAAGAAAGAAGGCTGGGAAGGTGGCTCAGTGGTAGAGTGCTTGCTTCGCATGCATGAGGCCCTGGGTTCGATTCCTCAGTACTACATAAGCAAAAAGAAAAAATCCAGAAGTGGTGCTGTGGCTCAAGTTGTAGAGCGCTAGCCTTGAGCTGAAGAGCTGAGGGACAGTACCCAGGCCCAGAGTTCAGGCCCCACCACCAACAAAAAAAGAAAGAAAGAAAAAGCCAGAAGTGGCACTGTGGCTCAAGTGGTAGCCTTGTGCTAGCCTTGAGCACAAAGAGGCTCAAGGACAGCATCCAGGTCCTGAGTTCAAGCCCCATGATCAACAAAGAAAATATCATACACATCTGTGTCCTTTTTTTTTTTTTTGTTGGTCGTGGGGCTTGAACTCTGGGCCTGGGCGCTGTCCCTCAGTTCTTCAGCTCAAGGCGAGCGCTCTACCACTTGAGCTACAGCACCACTTCCGGTTTTCTGGTGGTTTATTGGAGATAGGAGTCTCACAGTCTCTCCTGCCCGGGCTGGCTTTGAACCGCGATCCTCAGATCTCAGCCTCCTGAGTAGCTAGGATTACAGGCGTGAGCCACCAGCGCCCGGCCATCTGTGTCCTTTGATTTGAGTGTCTTTATCCCCTTGGACACAAGGATTCCCCTTATTTAATTTTATCCTAAGAAATATGCAGATATTCTAGAATAATTTATGTGCAAAGATCATCACAACAGCATTATTTATAAAAATAACATTATAGAGCACTTAGTATGTATCAGATAGGAAGAACCACTTATATACATATTGATTCAGTTACTCCTCATAACAATCTTTTCAGCTAGGCAACAATCTGAAATCTCATTTTAGCAAGGTGACAGTGGATCACATCTATAATCCTAGTTACTCAGGAAGATGGGATCTGGAGGATCATGGCTCAAAGCCAGTCCAGGCAGAAAAGAATTTTAAAATATTGCTCTTGAAGAACATTTCATGAAATAAGAGTAGGGGTAGAGTGGTGTACTATATTTAAGAAGCAGAATATTAGCTAAGCGCCAGTGGCTCACACCTATAATCCCAGCTACTCAGGAGACTAAGATTTGAGGATCGCAGTTCGATGCCAGCCAGGGACTCTTATCTCCAATTAACCACTCAAAAATCAGAAGTAGCACTATGGCTCAAGTGGTAGAGCACTAGTCTTAAGGGAAAAAGAGCTCAGGGACAGCACTTAGGCCCTAAGTTCAAATCACACACACACACACACACACACACACACACACACACACACACACACACACACACACACACACACACACACACACACACACACACACACACACACACACACACAAGACCCCTGAGCCAGTGGCTCAAGCACTTAGGCCCTAAGTTCAAATCACACACACACACACACACACACACACACACACACACACACACACACACACACTTAGGCCCTAAGTTCAAATCACACACACACACACACACACACACACACACACACACACACACACACACACACACACACAGAAGACCCCTGAGCCAGTGGCTCAAGTCTGAAATCCTAGCTATTCAGGAGGCTGAGATCTGAAGTTCAAAGACAGCCTGAACAGAAAAGTCCTGAGACACTATCTCTAATAAACTAGAAAAAAAAAGTCTGGGCTGGAGCGGTAGAACACCAGTCATGATCACAAGAGAGCACAAGATCCTGAATTAAAGCACTAATACCTGCAAAAATAAATAAAAATCAATAAAATTAAAAACCAGTATATAGTATTGAAGATATGGCTCAAGTAGTAGAAGACCAGCCATGAGCAAGAAAGGAAGACAGAGCACAAAGCACAAGGCCCTTAGTTCAAGCCATAGTACTGCAACCACAAAAAAAAATAAAGCAGAGCAACTGAGTGGCAAAGCGCTTGCCTAGCAAGTACAAAGTCCAGGGTTCATTCTCCCATAACAAAAGACAGACCAAAAGAAAAAAAGTTGGGGCTAGGAATGTGGCTTAGTGGTAGAGTACTTGCCCCCCGCCCCCATCTTCAGTAGATTTGAGAGTATTTAAATTTTCTCCTTGATGAACGTATCTTTTTAGGCCCAAGACAGGGACTCAAACTCAGTACTTGCAGTTTCATTCACTGACTAGTGCTCTACCAACTGAACCACACCTCCAACCCCTTGATGTACATATTCTATCATCACAAGATTAGTTTCCTTTTAAGTATTTAGTTAGACTAGAATCACACTGGCCAAAGCCCATGGGACACCTAGCTATTCACACACTTTTCTTCTTCCTTCCAGGATTATTTGTTTCCCTTTCACTTTTTGCATATTTTTTTAAATCCTTAAAGTCAAGAGGCATAGTATAATGTACAGTTATTGGGCTGGGAAATGTGGCTTAGTAGTAGAGCCCCAGGATTGGAATAATAATAATAATAATAAACAATTCTTTATTGCTAACTCTAAAGTACCATCAGTTTATTTTTTTTGCTGGTCCTGAGGCTTGAACTCTGGGCCTGGGCACTGTCCCTAAGCCTCTTTGTGCTCAAGGCTAGTGGTCTACAACTTGAGCCATAATGCCACTTTGGGTTTTTTCTGAGTAGTTTATTGGAGATAAGAATCTCACAGACTTTCTTCCCCTGGCTGGCTTTGAACTCGATCCTCAGATCTCAGCCTCCTGAGTAGCTAGGATTACAGGTGAGCCACCAGTGCCCGGCTCCCTCCGTCTATTTTTAGTCTTGTGGATAAACTATATGTGCAGCCAAAGTTTTTGCAAGCAGAGATAAAAAGCAAACAGTATAATCAAGTGCCTCTGGCAACACAGTGCTAAGGAATACAGGGAATTCTAGGCTCACTTAAGCACTACTTCTGCATGGCTAGATTAAATTCACAGTAATCTCTCCTTTTTGTCATTTCACCTAGAAACCCTCTTTTCTACCTCACAAGAGGGAAAGGAAAACAGGGATCTACTGGAATCTCTCAGGCTGTTACCAGAAGACTAAATGTGGTATGGAAGCTACCTTCCTCTTACTGGCTGTTCTTTTTTGAAGAGCTTGTTTACAAATTAAGCTTAAAGAAATCTGAAACATCAATGGATAAAAGCCATTTTGGTATGCTGCCTGCTGCTTAGAATAGAACACAAAGAATGACAGTGACAGGAAAGAAGGGTCCTGTGAGTTAAGGCATAAAGCTTTGGAACCGACCCCCTCTATACCCCCATAGTCTAGAGAAGTCTACTTCCTCACTGATGCCTTTAAACAGGCTTATGATGAATAGCTTGGAGGTAAAACACTACTACCTCCACCACCCCACCATCACCCCGCCTCTACTTTTTCTTTTCAGCAGAATAAAAGTCTCAACATTATTATTTTTTCTTTGCTAAGTTATAAGTAATGATACTGGCACTAATCAAAACACTGACTAGCCAGTCACCAGTGGCTCCTGCCTATAATCCTAGCTATGCAAGAGGCTGATACCTGAGGATCAGGGCTCCAAGTCAGCCCAGGCAGAAAAGTTCCCTGAGACTCTTATCTACAATTAACCACTCAAAAACCGAAGTAGAGGGCTGGGAAGGTAGCTCAGTGGTAGAGTGCTTGCCTTGCATGCATGAGGCCCTGGGTTCAATTCCTCAGCACCACATAAACAGAAAAAGCCAGAAGTGGCGCTGTGGCTCAAGTGGTAGAGCGCTCGCCTTGAGCTGAAGAGCTGAGGGACAGTGCCCAGGCCCAGAGTTCAGGTCCACAACCAGCAAAAAAAAAAACAAAAAAAACGAAGTAGAGCTGTGGCTCAAAGTGGTAGAGGGATAGCCTTGAGCTTTGAGCACAGGGACACTGGTCAGGCTCAGGCCCTGAGTTCAAGCCCCATGATCGACAAGCACACACAGACACACAGACACACAGACACAGACACACACACACACACACACACAGAAAAAACTAAAAAAACAACATGACAAAACATATATGAGACGTGTACCAATTTGTCCCACGGATAGGGACCAGATTTCAGTGACAGCCACGAACAGATTCAGACTTCTCCCTTCCCCATCCTTTATGCTTATTTCTCTCTCAGGACCAAACAACTTTGGTGAAATGACATCTTCAAACAGTAAGACACCTCCCTCCTCCCAAAAGAACAAAAGCATGCTCTTCAAATAAATGACGCCCACACAATTATCACAGCATCCCACCCCTCCTCACTTTCTCTACACCCAGCCCTCATACTTACAGATGCAGGCAGCAGCAAGAAGACGGCAGGCCACATAGGGGGGATCACACGTGGGGAAGGAGGGCTGGATGATGTAGTTGGCAAAGGTGATGGCGATGATGGCCTGACTGGTGGGCTCAACAATTAGCAGTGAGGCCCACAGGCGGATGAAGGCAATGAAGCCCCCAAAGGCCTCTAGAATATAAGCATAGCTAGCCCCTGACTTGGTGATGGTGGTCCCCAGCTCTGCATAGCAAAGGGCACCCACAACAGAGAAGAGTCCACCAATGGACCAGACAACTAGTGACAAGCCATAGGAGGCCGTGTGTGCCAATACTCCTTTGGGTGAGACAAAGATCCCTGAGCCAATCATGTTGCCCACCACCAGGCTGATCCCATTCAGCAAGGAGATTTCCTTCTTCAGCTGCACAGTTTCTGAGTTCTCTCTAGATGGCAAGCTGACATCCTCTTCCATCCTGGGCTGGTTAGCTGAGGTGAGGAGGTGGTAGGTAGGGGCAGGTCCCCCATGCTCCCGGGCTTCCATAGCAAATGGTTACTATATGCTTGTATTTTCTGTGGCCTGGCAAAGAAAACTAGTATGTCCAGTCTAAGTCAGTTGCTGGTGAGGGGTCTCCTTAGGGATAGCTTGCCACACATGTAATCAATAAGCCTCAGTTCCCACTTCAAGGCACAGGGAAAACGAAGGCAGGCAGATCTCCACTGCTCCTGGAAAAAAAATATAATGATTTAAGTCATGATCTGGGCTGGGAAGGTGGCTTAGTGGTAGAGTGCCTAGCATGCATGAAGCTCTGGGTTTGATTCTTCAGTACTACATAAGCAGAAAAAGCCAGAAGTGGCACTGTGACAAGTGGTAGAGTGTTAGCTTTGAGCAAAAGAAGCTCAGGGACAGTGCCCAGGCCCAGAGTTCAAGCCCCAGTACTAGCAAAAAAAAAAAAGAGGTAAGGCATGATCTGGTGATAATTTCTTTTTCTTTTTTTTTTTTTTTGTCGGTCGTGGGGCTTGAACTCTGGGCCTGGGTGCTGTCCCTCAGCTCTTCAGCTCAAGGCGAGCGCTCTACCACTTGAGCTACAGCGCCACTTCCGGTTTTCTGGTGGTTTATTGGAGATAAGAGTCTCACGGTCTCTCCTGCCCGGGCTGGCTTTGAAACGCGATCCTCAGATCTCAGCCTCCTGAGTAGCTAGGATTACAGGCGTGAGCCACCAGCGCCCGGCATGGTGATAATTTCTAATAAGAACCATGTCATGCTGGGTGCTAGTGGTTCATGCCAATAATTCTAGCTACTCAGGAGGCTGAGATCTGAGGATTAGAGTTCAAAACCAACCCGGACTGGAAACTCCATGAGACTCTTATCACTAACCACCAGAAAACTGGAAGTAGTGCTATGGTACAAAGTGGTAGAGCGCTACCCTTGAGCAAAAAGAGCTCAGCACCCAGGCCCTGAGTTCAAGCCCCATGACTGACAAAAAAGAAAGAAAGAAAGAAAAGAATATATATCATATCACTATTACAGAGATGACCAAAAGGAGGTCCTCTATGAAAATGCATAGCCAAATGTCACACACTCACACACCTATTTTACTCTCCACATTGTTCTAGCACAACCAAATACCCAAAAGAAAGAAGATTACAGAATGAGAAAAGAAGGAGAAAGGACATCCACAGGGTATCCTAATCTGAGACTAGGTCGTTATGGTCTCATTTGTTTCAGTCTTCAACAGCACACTCCTCACTATTACCCTGGGTTACAAAGAGATTCTCCCACAACACTACTCCAGAACCCAACCAAAGCCATAGGCTTCTCTTGGCCATAGATATTGGAAAGCATAGGCATTGGAAAGCATACTGTAGGGAGATTGCAGACACAAACCTGCCACCTTTGGATGGGAGATTAATCTAGAAACCTCAAGAAAGTTAGATCCCACAGTAATCTACCCATGAAGGATCCAAAATCTGTCAGAGGAAGACAAGAACTTTCTTGACCCTATATCCCATTGTGGCTTTCTCCCTCACTTCCTTCCTATGTATCAGACTCATCAAACCCATCTCATCTTCTGGAGAAAGGAACATGGTGAGCTGTGTGAGTCTCACCCAGGAGTCAGTCCTTGACAGTCAAAGGGATACCTTCCAGGAATAAGAATGTGATCAAAACATCAATATTCCCAGAATCCTCTTCTCTACTCACCGAAGATATATGTCCCTGATTCTGATCTCAGAGAGCTCAGAACAAGTTCAGAGCTTCTGTCACTTGAGAGTGAATAGTTCTTTTTTTTTGGGGGGGGGGGGGTCCGGTAGTGGGGCCTGAACTCTGGGCCTGGGCGCTGTCCCTCAGCTCTTCAGCTCAAGGCTAGCACTCTACCACTTGAGCCACAGCGCCACTTATGGCTTTTTTCTTTTTGCTTATGTGGTGCTGAGGAATCGAACCCAGGGCCTCAGGCATGCAAGGCAAGCACTCTACCACTAAGCCACCTTCCCAGCCCCGAGAGTGAGTAGTTCTTGAAAACTCTGATCTCCACAGCCTCCCACCCCAAATTCCTGCTTTACCTGTCCTAAATACCCTTCCAGAGTCTGAATCTCAACCCAAGTGAAAAAACTCCACTGGGGGGGCTGGGAAGTTGGCTCAGTGGTAGAGCACTTGCCTTGCATGCCTGAGGCCCTGGGTTCGATTCCTCAGCACCACATAAGCAAAAAGAAAAAAAGCCGGAAGTGGCGCTGTGGCTCAAGTGGTAGAGCGCTAGCCTTGAGCTGAAGAGCTGAGGGACAGCGCCCAGGCCCAGAGTTCAGGCCCTACAACTGGACCCAAAAAAAAAAAACAAAAAAAAAAAACTCCACTGGGGCTGGGCACCGGTGGCTCACACCTGTAATCCTAGCTACTGAGAAGGCTGAGATCTGAGGATCACGGTTCAAAACCAGCCCAGGCAGGAAAGTCCATGAGACTCTTATCTCCAATAAACCACTAGAAAACCAGAAGTGGCACTGTGGCTCAAGGGGTAGAGCATTTGCCTTGAGCTGAAGAGCACAAGGACAGCGCCCAAGCCAGGAGTTCAAGCCCCATGACAAAACTCCACTGGAACACTGGTAGCCTTCCCTGGTCCCAGGAGAGTTGAGTCTATTTACACCTGCTTAGATGAGGCTGGGCTTAAGCCATGCAGGTTTCTCTGTGCAGGCATGTGGAAGTATATTTGTATTCACATGTCCTGTCAGGTGAGCTCAGGCATCTGTGGGAACAAATCCAGTAACCAGCTCCCTAACTGTTTATTCATTCTCACGTTGAGTCATATGCAAAGAGACCTAGATTGCCTTTTTCTACCTAACTCAACACAGTGGCCCAAGTGGCCACTCCAACTTTACTTCTCTCAGACCTTAGATGGGGAGGTCAGGGATTGTGGTTACCAGCTATTCCTTTTGTCTCACGTAATTTGTTTACAGCTGTCTGATACACTGGGGAAACTGCTCAGTGGCAGTCTTGGACATGCAGACTTCTTGTCGATATGAGAAACAAGGCTCTTGCTAAAGTTTAGAAAAGATTCCTCCTCCAGCCCAGGAGTCCTAAGTAAGAGCAACTGAGGATTCTTTCTCCTCACTTGATAAAGTGGTTACCACTAGGCCAAAGTAATTAAAATTGTTCTTTGATAACAAGAGCAGCAGGTGATATAACACTAGCAAGTTCCCTAAGGCCAAACGGCCAAGTCCCACAATAGCTTGGTCACACAACTCCACACCTTTCCTCTATATTTAAACTCCACAAGCAGAGACAGGTGCCAAGCACCTACATCGTATGACTCTGTGCTGAGAACACAGAAAAGTAGACCATGTCCTTGTAGAAAGACATGAGATCACAAACTAGCTAGATCCCACCTTTCTCTGACCTCAGCTCTTCCCAGTTTGCACCACTTCCAGTTTTCTAGTGGTTTGTTGGAGATAAAGAGTCTCATGGACTTTCCTGCTGGGGCTGGCTTTGAACTATGATTCACAGATCTCAGCCACCTGAGTAGCTAGGATTACAGGTGTGAGCCACCAGCACCTGGCTTCATCTAGGGCTTGAACTCAGGGCCTGGGCACTGTCTCTGAGCTTCTTTTGCTCAAGGCTAGAACTCTACCACTTGAGTCATGGCACCACTTCTGGCTTTTTCTGTGTATGTGGTACTAAGGAATCAAACCCAGGGTTTCATGCATGCTAGGCAAGCACTCTACCACTAAGCCACCTTCCCAGCCACTGTACTGACCCTTTACATTAAATTGGACAACATGAAACTATGATAAAATGTGAACTGTTCCTTATCAGGGTTAATGTTGCTGGGAGACAAATTCTGGAAGCACGGAAGAATTAAAGGAAAGAAAAGAGTTAAAAGTTCTTTTCACTAGAAGATTAAATACAGTATAAAATAGATGTAAAGTATAACGTACCAGTGGCTCATGCCTGTAATCCTAGTTACTTATTGGGGATGAGATCCCCAAGATTGAAGTTCAAAACCAGTTGGGGACAGAAGAGTCCACAAGACTCCATTTCCAAACTAACTAGCAAAAACCAAGCTAGAGCAGGGCACAGGTGGCTCACGACTGTAATCCTAGCTACTCAGGAGGCTGAGATCTGAGGATCTTGGTTCAAGCCAGCCCAAGCAGGAAAGTCCATGAGATTCTTATCTCCAATAAACCACTCAGAAAACTGGAAATGATGCTATGGCTCAAGTGGTAGAGCACTCACCTTGAGCTGAGGAGTGCAGGAACAGTGCCCAAGCCCAGAGTTCAAGCCCCATGACCAACCAAAAAAAAAAAAAAAAAGCTAGAGACATGGCTCAAGTGGTAGAATGCCAACGTAACAAACAAATCAAATAAATGAAAGAACCTGAGTTCAAGCCAGCAAAAGAAAAAAAGAAAAAAAAGAAGGAAACACAGGCCCCTCAAGGAGAAAGAAATGCAAGGTTTGGCTTTCTCATGGTAAAAGACTACCATAGAGGTGGGTAAGAATTCAAGTGCAATTTTATTTTTTCAAGTGCAATTTTAATAAGCTACTAAAGGTCAGGTTCAGGTTAACAAAAACCACAGACACTGAGGTTTTTCTCCACAGACTCAGTAGTTGCTCACAGGAAACACTGGGCAGGAAACAAGAAAAAAATCCTCCTCAGTAGTGCTGGCCCTGGAAGAAGAAAATGCAAAGGTCCGCCCAAACCCTTCTCCTTTAAAGAACAAAAAATTATAAAGCCCTGAAGAAATATTAGCAAACTCTGTCACTAGAACAGGGTAAAAGAACATAACCAGAGAAAATTGGACAAACCCTTTATGCTTGGGAGAGTGGAAAGGTGGGAAGAGGCAGGAAATTCTGCTCAAGACCATTAGAGGTATCTTCTATCTAGGAGAATCACCCAAAAAGTTCTACCCTGAAGACTCAAGAAAACTCCCCAAGACTGAGGCTAAACCAGAGAGAACTTCTCGGCTCCCCACCATCATGTTGGCAAGCATCCAGGAATAACCAATGGCAGCCTGCCAGAGTGTGGTAGACTGTGCATGGAAAAGAACTAAAGCCAAGGGCAGAGTATAAACACTGAGAAAAAGTCTTCCCCCAAGCAAAGCAAAGCAACCCTAAACCCAAGAGGGTTATAAAGGAATTACAAGAGGGATCTGAAGTAAGGTTTACCTAAGGTAACCACAGCAACAACAAAACCCAAACAGAACTCTTCTCATGGGCTCAAACTCCCTAACCAACAACTTAACAAAAGAATTTATTCCCCAGAATAAATAGATAGCTCAGTCTTCTGTTCTATATACGAAGTCCAGCATTCAATAACCTGTTATAAGCAATAGTACACACACACACAGAGAGAGAAAACTACTATCAAGAGCCAGGTGCCGGTGGCTCACACCTGTAATCCTACCTACTCAGGAGGCTGAGATCTGAGGATCTTGGTTCAAAGCCAGCCCAGGTAAGAAAGTCTATAAGATTCTTTTTGGGTTTTTTTGGTGTTGTTGTTGTTGTTTGTGGGGCCTGAACTCGGCCTGGGCGCTGTCCCTTAGCTCTTTAGTTCAAGGCTAGCACTCTACCACTTGAGCTACAACGCCACTTCTGGCTTTTTCTGCTTATGTGGTACTTAGGAATGGAACCCAGGGCCTCATGCATGCAAGGCAAGCACTCTACCACTGAGCCACCTTCCCAGCCCCAAAGTCTGGTTTCTTTTTTTTTTTTGGTCAGTTGCAGGGCTTGAACTCTGGGCCTGGGTGCTGTCCCTCAGCTCTTCAGCTCAAGGTGAGCACTCTACCACTTGAGCCATAGCACTACTTCCTCTGTGAGATTCTTATCTCCAATAAACCACCAGAAAATTGGAAGTGGCACTGTGGCTCAAGAGGTAGAGTGCTCACCTTGAGCTGAAGAGCTCAGGGACAGCACCCAGGCCCAGAGTTCAAGACCCATGACCGACAAAAAGAAAGAAAGGAAGGAAGGAAGGAAGGAAGGAAGGAAGAAAGGAAGGAAGGAAAATAACAAAACAAAAATTTTTAATGAGGAGTCAAAACCTGTGTTGCACACTTGTGGTCTCAGGTACTTAACAAGGCTGAGGTGGAGGATTTGCTTGAGCCAGGAGCTTGAAACCAACCTAAGCAACATAACAAGATCCTCGTCTAATAAAACATGTTCTTTTTCAATCCCAACAACCTCCAAAAATTAGAAATAAAATAACTATAATTAGTACATTAAAAGTAAGGTGGGGAAAAAATGTGGAATTTTAGCAGAAGAAAACTATTTAAAACAAAATGGAGGGGCTGGGAAGGTGGCTCAGTGGTAGAGTGCTTGCCTTGCATGCATGAGACCCTGGGTTCGATTCCTCAGCACCACATAACCAAAAAGAAAAAAGACATAAGTTGCGCTGTGGCTCAAGTGGTAGAGCGCTAGACTTGAGCTGAAGAGCTGAGGGACAGCGCCCAGGCCCAGAGTTCAGGTCCCACAACTGGACCTAAAAAAAAAAGAATAAAGAAAGAAAGAAAGAAAGAAGGAAAGAAAGAAAGGCAGGAAGGAAGGCAGGAAGGAAGGAAGGAAGGAAGGAAGGAAGGAAGGAAGGAAGGAAGGAAGGAAGGAAGGAAGGAAGGAAGGAAGGAAGGCACTCAAAGCCTGGTGTTGGTGTCCCATGCCCGTAATCCTAGCTATTTAGGAGGCTGAGATCTAAGGATCAAGGTTCAAAACCAACTTTGACAAACAAATCCAAGAGACTCTTATCTCTAACAATTAAAAAATTGAAATTGGAGGTGTATAAGGTCCATTCCTGGATGGCGAGCAGACCCTGCCCAGTACCTGGGTTACCTAGGCAACTGGGATACCTGGAAGAGGTCACATCCGAATCCAGTGAAATCACATATGGATCTGATGTGGCCACACCTTTCTCCAACCGGGTCCCACCTCCTCTTATCCGGTCCCACTTCCCTTTACTTGGCCACACCTTTCCCCACCCCTACCCTAGATAAGGCCTAACCCAGGACCAGAGGAGACGCCTTCTTTGCCAGCTGCCAACCTGGCCTGGTCCCAGCAGGTCTACTGAATAAACCTACCCTTTACCTGAATACCATGTGCGTGGTGTTGTTCTTACTCGGCTACCTCTTTTTAAAAACCTAACAAGGTGGGGCTGGGAAGGTGGCTCAGTGGTAGAGCACTTGCCTTGCATGCTCAAGGCCCTGGGTTCGATTCCTCAGCACCACATAAGCAAAAAGAAAAAATCCGGAAGTGGCACTGTGGCTCAAGTGGTAGAGTGCTAGCTAGCCTTGAGCTGAAGAGCTGAGGGACAGCGCCCAGGCCCAGAGTTCAGGCCCCACGACCGGACCCAAAAAAAAAAAAAAAACCTAACAAGGTGTAGTTCAAGTGGTAGAGAATCAGATTTGAACCAAAAAAATTTAAAGTAAGAGCTCAAGGCCCTGAGTACACACACACACACACACACACACACACACACACACACACACACACACACACACACACACACACACACACACACACACACACACACACACACACACACACACACACACACACACACACACACACACACACACACACACACACACACACACACACACACACACACACACACACACAGAGGAAGGGAGGGAGAGAGAAAGGGAGAGAGAAAGCTAGAAAGAGGGGCACAATGGTACTCACCTATTATCCCAGCACTCTGAAGACTACACCAGGACAATCTTAAGTTTGAGGGTAGTCTTAGCTGTATAAGACTCAATTTAAAAAGAAAAAAAAAAGGAAATAAAAATAAGAAAAGAAAGCTGGATTATGGATTTATTTTGAGGAATAGGTAGCACTTTGTGACTGATACAAATGAATTCAAAACTATAATGTAGTCACAATAGCTCTTTGCAATTTTTTTTCACTCTGGCAAGTACTCTTTAGGAAGAGATCTAAAGATATACTTTATTTATACATTATAATATTTATATAGTACTCAGGAGGCTGAGATCTGAGGATTGTGGTTCAAAGCCAGCCCAGGCAGAAAAAGCCCCATGAGACTCTTACGTCCAATTAACCACTCAAAAACAGGAAGTGGCACTGTGGCTCAAGTGGTAAGAGTGCTAACCTTGAGTACAAAGAGGCTCAGGGACAGCACCAGGCCCTGAGTTCAAGCCCTACAACCACAAATAATAATAATAATAATAATAATAATGTATATTGTAAACTACAGAGCTGAGTACTGGTAGACCACTCCTTAATCCTAGCCAACTCAGGAGGCTGAGATCTGAGGATCAAGGTTCAAAACCGTTGAGGTAGGAAAGTCCATGAGATTCTTATCTCAGTAAACTACTCAGAAAAAGCCAGAAGTGGTGCGGTGGCTCTAGTGGTAAAGCCTGAGCTTTGAGCATAAAAGAGGCTCAGGAACAGTGCCCAAACCCTGAGTTTAAGCCCCAGGACCCACAAATAATAACAACAACAACAATAAAATTACAATGTTATATAACATTAATACTGATCCATAACTAATGTAAGCTATTTTTTTTTTCTTTTGCAGGTACTGAGGCTTGAACTAGGCCTAGACACTGTCCCTGAATTCCTTTTGCTCAAGGCAAGCACTCTACCATTTAAGCCACAGTGCCACTTTGGCTTTTTCTATGATTAATTGGAGATAAGAATCTCCTGGACTTTCCTACCTGGGCTGGCTTCAAACCTCCATCCTCAGATCTCAGCCTCTTGAGTAGCTAGAACTATAGGTGTGAGTCACCAGTGCTGGCTTAAGCCATCTATTTTTACTAGTGTTGTGTTCATATGCAGATAACAAGTTTTTTTGTTTTGCTTTGTTTTTTGGTTGGTCTTGAGCCTTGAACTCTGGGCCTGGGCACTGTCCCTGAGCTCTTCAGCTCAAGGCAAGCGCTCTACCAAGCCATAGCTCCACTTCTGGTTTTCTGGTGGTTAATTGGACAGAAGGGTCTCTGGGCTGGCTTTGAATTGTGATCCTTAGATCTCAGCCTCCTGAGTAGTTAGGATTACAGGTGTGAGCCACCGGCGCCTGATTAATAAGTTTTATAAATCACAAAGGCCAAAAAGAGTCAATAAAGACGGCAATGATACTCACCTGCCACCAAATAAGTAAAAATCACACTCTTATAGGCCACTTCATCATAAATGGGTCAATTCTGAGAAGAAAACGAATTCACTACAGCAAGGGCTAATTCCACTTGTCTGTTTTGGCCATTTAATTTGCAACAAAGAATAGGTGTAACCTGCCAAAAAAAAAAAAAAAAGAAAGAAAAGAAAAGAAAGAAAAAATTGGATCTAGTAAGCAGCAAAATGGTCATTTCCCTTTGTAAAATCTAAATTTATAAGCCCTCAACTGCTGAGTTCCATCATATCCACAGGGCATATGACTGAAGCAATCAACTCAAATATATCAGAAAGAGCTTGAAAATTTCAAATCATGCATGTTAAGGCAGCTAGTTGTTCCAGGACCTTGTGGCTCACGAGCACATCATTGCTTAACTTTTGTAGAAGTTTCTTCTGCCAGAAGTTCCAGGGAGCCGGCTGCTGATGGCTCACACATATAATCCTAACTACTCAGGAAGCTGAGACCTGAGAATCATGGTTAAAAGCCAGCCTGAGTAGAAGTAGAAAAGTCACAATGAGACTTTTATCTCCAATTAACCACTCAAAACCAGAATTGGGTCTATGGCTCAAAGTGGTAGAGCACCAGCCTTAAGCAAAAAGAGCTCAGGGACAGCATCTAGGTCCTGAGTTCAAGCCCCAGAATTAACATAAAAAAAAAAAAAAAAAAAAAGCTGGGCATTGGTGGCTCACGCCTATAATCCTAGTTACTCAGGAGGCTGAGATCTGAGAATCACAGAATCACAGTTCAAAGTCAGCCCAGGCTGGAAACTCCTTGAGACTCCAATAAACCACTCAGAAAACCAGAAGTGACACTGTGGCTAATAAAGTAGAGCACCTGCCTTGAGCTGAAGAGCTGAGGGACAGCGCCCAGGCATAGAGTTTAAGCTCCACGACCAACAAAAAAAAATAAGTTCCAGGAAGATAGGTCACTTAATTGGAATACACTTTTTTGGTCTATAATAAAAATACATCCACAGCCAAATAAAGGAAGGAGGTACAGGTGAGAGAGATACTGGGAACTAGGCTTGAAAGAAGTAGCAAATATAACAAGTCATGTAACGTCTGAGACTTCAGTCAGGAAGCAAAAACCATCCATGTACAATCACAAGGGGGCCTTAGTAATATAGGCAGCCTGGGCCATTTCCTGAAGGCAGGCTAAGAGGTGAAAAGGATCTTAGGAAGCAGTTACAGACTTTAAGTCCACTGCTCCTAGATCTTCAAACAGGAGAGCAGCATCTCAGAAAGAAGATAACAGATGTCTGGCTGCATTCTGCCATGATGCTGTTACATTAGCTGGCTATGGCAGTAGGTTTTTTCACCCTGATCAAGGGCAGAGACTGAATTCTTTTTAACTGTATCACCAAGGACATAGCCCAGTGCCCAGGAGAAGTTCCCCCAAGACATCTATTAAATGAGATGCTGATTCCTAATTATTGACCATTATAGAATATGGTAGTCAGACTCTCACTCAAGACCACTCTATCTCCCTCGCACTGGCCATGGCCTTCACTCAGGGTCTCACACACAGTCTTCTCATACCCTTTGTTTTCTTTTTCCGCTTTCACACATGTGGTTTCCCCCCACACTCAAGGTCTCACAGACACTCAATTTCCATTGTTAGCATTATGCCCACCTTTGGTCCTCAGCTCCACCCATACCTGAGCTCCTCCCTGCCCTGGAATTCCCGCCCGACAGCTAGCCACTCCCTCTCTCTGCCCAGACCCACCTGAGCACCCACTTCCTGTCCACAGACCCTCCCACTACGTGGATAGGGACAGGTGCGTGCTCCCTCTCCTGGGGGGGAAGAGAGAGAGAGTGAGAGAGAGTGAGAGAGAGTAAGAGAGAGAGAGAGAGAGAGGAAAAAAAAGAAAGAAAAAGAAAAGCTGGGTACTGGTGACTCACCTGTATAATCCTAGCTACTCAGAAGCTGAGATCTAAGGATCATGGTTTGAAGCCAGCCCAGGCAGGAAAATCTGAGACTCTTACCTCCACTAAACTATAATAAAAAAGCCAGAAGTGGAGCTCAAGAGGTAGAGGTGCTAGCCTTGAGCAAAAGAAGCTCAGTGACAGAGCCCAAGCCCTGAGTTCAAACAGGATAAACTTAAGAAAAGGAGGCCTGATGAATGCAACTCAAATACTTAGAAACTTTTGTTTGTTTGTTTTTTTGCCGGTCATGGGGCCTGAACTCTGGGCCTGGGCACTGTCCCTCAGCTCTTCAGCTCAAGGCTAGTGCTCTACCACTGGAGCCACAGCGCCACTTGCGGCTTTTTCTGTTTATGTGGTGCTGAGGAATCAAACCCAGGGCCTCATGCTTGCAAGGCATGCACTCTACCGCTGAGCTACCTTCCCAGCCCCATACTTAGAAACTTAAGAATGCTATTTTTGCTTCAAAGAGAGACAACTGAGGGATGCATTTCTCACCCAAGGATTAACTGACAGGATGCCCCAAAATGCAGATAGCAGGGCACCTGACCTGTTTTATGGCAACATGCATTCTTACCTGGAAACACACCAGGTGTGGTTAGAGCAAAGACAAAGAACCTAGCTTTGCATAACTTGAAGGCAGACCCACTGCCTTTACCCTATAAATACTCCAACAGTCCAAGGAGCTGTGTGTGTGTGTCTCTCTCTGGTTGTTTCTTTATGTGTGTATGTCTGTCTCTCCCTCTCTGGGTCTGTGTGTGTGTGTACGTGTCTGTGTTTGTGTCTCTATGTCCCTACGAGAGCACCCACACTCTGCCAGAGTGTGCCCCTGCCCTTCAGTCTGCTTTTTTGTCTGTCTGCCTCGTTTATGTACTCTATAAAGCTCTGCCAAGTTTTCTTACCACTGTGACTTATTCTATGATCGAAGTCAAGGACCCTAAGTGAAGAGTTTCTATATTTAAAGGGAAGCTTCACTAAACCTCACCTCCATCCGGTGACAGGAGCAGCAAAAAGAAAACAACAGTGTTTCCTCTTTCACACACAAGCTCTCCCCCCCCCCCCAATCACCTTTCCCCAAACACACTGAGTCCCCTCACACCACGTGTTTCCTCTTTCACACACGTGGCTCACATTCAGGGTCACCCTCACAGCCTGGGCTTTCTCAAGCTCTTGTTCTTCCCACATATTCAGTGACCCTCACACCAGACCAGATGAGTCCTTTTTCACACTACAGTCCCCCCACAGTCACCTTCGCTCCAGTTTATTCTCTCTCTCTCTCTCTCTCACATATTCAGTCCTGGTCAGTCACATATTCAAATCTGGTGTTTCCTCTTCCGCACACACGTGGTCACCCCCATATACAGGGTCTCCTCCAGTCCAGTCTCCCACACACCCATTTTTTTCCCCTCTCTTTCACCTCTCCCAATTCAGGATCTCTCACATTCACTAGCTTCCCCCCCACCACACTCCGGGTCTCCCCCACTAGTAAAGCTGAAGCCTGGGGGAAAATGAGGTACGACCAGGGAACAGGAAATGCAGAGCTATTCTTTTCCAGAAGATGAAGGGAACAAAAGTCCTTTTGGGGGGAAATGAAGCAGGATAACTTCAGGCAAGTGAGGCCTGGTGAATGAAGGCAGCTCAGAACTCGGGTGTTTAGAAATAACAGAAGGGCCATCTTTGCGTTCCTTCCTGAGGGCTGCATTCCTCGCCCCCCCCCCCGCCCCCCAACAAGGAACACTTGTGTGTCTTCCTGAGAAAAGTCAAACTTAAGCCACCTGCCCCAAAAGACAGCTAGCAGGGCGCCTCCGGGTCTCAAGGACAACGATCCGCCTTGTGGCAGGATCTGTTGGAGGCATTCTTAGCCAGGAAAGTCAAAGAAATAATGCCAGGGGTGCTCAGAGCAGAGACAAAGCGCCCAGCTTTGTGTAACTCTTACAGCCAGACCCCCTGCCCCCCCCCATAATCCCCAAGAGCTGTGCCTCTCCCTGTGGACGCACCACGGGTACTCCGCTAGAGTGTGTCTGTCTGTGTGTCTGCTGTCTGTCTGTTTACTCAGTGAAGCTCTGCCACGTTTTCTCACCCTCCGTGACTAGTCCGTGGATTCTACTCTGCGATGGAAGGCAAGGACCTTCGCTAAACCTCAGCCGCGGCCGGTGACAAAGCCACCATCAGCGCGCGCGCGCGCGCTCTCTCACACACGCACGCGCGCGCACACACTTTCTCATCCTGCGGGTCTCCCGCCCTTCTGGCGTCCCCGGCCCCCGCCGCGTCCCTCACGCGGCCGGCTCGCCCGCCCCGCGCCCTTCGTTTCCGGCCCGCATCCAGCACCCGCGCGCGCGCGCGCCCAGCAGCGGCGGCGGCGGCGGCGGCGGCTTCCGAGCGTTCGGCTCCCCCTCCCCGCCTTCCTCAGGAGGCTTAGAGGCCCGACCCCAGCCCGGCCCCGCGCCCCGGCGCCCCGGCGCCCCGGCCGGTTACCTCCCGGTGGCCAGGCGCCTCCTCCAGGATGCTCCGTAGCGCGGCCTCCGCGGCTGCTCAGGCCCCGCCCCGCCCCGCCTGCTCGGGTCCCGCGTCACCGCCACCCGATCGCTGCCCGGCGAGCCGTGTCCGGAGCCGACTCCGCGAGGGAGCCGAGCCGCTCTGGGCCCCAGGGGCTTCCGGACGCCGAGGCGGGGCCCATGGGCGGCCAGGACCCAGGGGACAGATGGGAGGCCGGGCCGGGGGAAGAGATGGTCGGGCGACCCCGGCCTCCAGTGGATCCAGCGGGACCGGCTGAGTCACCGACCTCGGCATCAGGATACTCAACTGGACACCTGTCCTGGGCCGGGGCCCCATGCCCGGGAGACCCCCGACAAGTTCACACAAAGCTCCCTACCCACACCTGCCCCACCCAGTGACTGCCCAGGGACACCAGGAAGACCACCCAGCACCTCCCAGACACCCCTAGCCACCCCAGACCTTCCTGGGACACTGTCCTGGTCTTGCCTAGCCCTGCTGATGCCTGCCCCCTACTGCCCCCTCTAGTCCTCCCCTTCTCCCTCTGCTTGCCCTTCCTCACTCTGTCTAGGGTCTCTTGACTGCATGGACCCCTGCACCCTCTCTCTTAGATTCCAGCCCTGACGGGTGTCCACGCTGCACACACTCTGGTTGGTCTCAGATCACATTCAGACCCTTGTCCCCTCCACAGAGCGCATAAGCCAAAAATGACAGCACTCTGACTTTTCATCTTTCCCCCTCCCCAGAGCCTGCATCCCATCTCCCTAGCTTGATAGCCTACGAATCTCTAACCTGCTCCTGCACCCATCCCACGGTAGGGATGCTTCTAAAATACAAATTGCATTGGCTTCATATTCCCTAAAAAAAAAAACAAAAAACCTTTCCATCCTCCTCCGTAGAGATCTAGGGACCCATTCTTGTACTGCCTTCATCCTGTCCTTTGCCTAAAACACCTTCAAAAGTGTGTGTGTGTATGTAGGGGAAGCATATATATGGATCAATTGTTTGACACTTTACCTCCAGAGGGGGCAGAAGGGACACTTGTCACTCACTGGCCACAACTGGCCATAAAACCTGGAGTCAGGGGCTCACAATGATAATCCTAGATACCCAGAAGGCTGAGATCTGGGGATGGTGGTCAGAAGTTAGCAAGGCAGGAAAATCCATGAGACACTTATTTCCAGTTAACCAGCATAAGCTGGAAGTAAAGCTGTGACTCAAATAGTAAAAGCACCAGCCTTGATGAACAAAAGAGCTAAGGGATGGTACCCAGGCCCAGAGTTCAAGCCCTGTACCAGCACCAAAAAACAAAAACAAAAAACCTGCTGGTCCCCAGATTTTTTTTTTTTTTTTTACCCATAGTGGGTCTTGAACTCAGGGCCTGGGCACTGATTTTGAGTTTCTTTTGCTAAGACTAGCACCCTACCACATGAGCCACAGCTCCACATCTGGGTTTTTTTGTTTTTGTTTTTGTATATTGGAGATAAAAGTCTCACAGACTTTTCTGCCTGGGCTGGCTTCAAACCATGATCTTCAGATCTCAGTCTCCTGAGTAGCTATGATTACAGGTGTGAGCCTCCAGCCACTTGCTTCCCAGGTTTCTTTACAATCTCATAGTTAAATCAGTCAATCAGCTGAAAATCCACCATGTGTGAAACTTTACTAAATCAGATGTTCCCCCAATAACCATCAGTGTTTGCTCTTCAGGACCATCCTTCAGATCACATTTCTTTGTCCTCAATCTTCAGATGAGGGGAGTGAGGCTCAGGGGGATCAAGGGCATATCCCAAGCTATTTGTTGGAGCTGGTAGAACTAAGATTTGAACACAAGTCTGCTGATCCTAAAGTTTGCCGACTCCACACTCTGCACCTGTGAAACTGAAAGTGGCAGTGCGACTGAAACAGGCAGGTAGCGTCCGTGTCACAAGTGATGGCATGAGTGGGTATCAGGCTGGCAAGGTCCGAGTATGAGACTTCTCTTCGTGTTGTCGTCCTTTCACTGAGGCCAGAACTGGGCCTAAACTTGTGTCTACCAGCCTCACTTGACTCCCTTTCTCCTGGCTATTTCTTCCAGGTATAGCCTAACCACCTCATTGTAGCAGGGGCAGTAGGAAGATTTGGGGTGCCCTCTAGTGGCCAATGTTGAATTAAAGTCTGGAGTCCAGACTGGCAGGCTCAACGGGCGGACAGGAGCCAGGGTTCCTACCACCACGCTGGCTTACAAATTTCCCACTGGGACCCCATCCCTGTGCATACAACCTTGTCTGACTCTCTTGCCCATCTCCAATTGTACCATATTTTGGTCCGGGTCTCTGCTCTCTATCTCTGCCCAAATCAGTTTCAGAGTAGTCTCTTCCTTTCCCACATTCTTTCCCAAAGAAGGCCATGTAGCAGGCAGATGAACTGAAAATTCCAAGTCAGTGACATCTTAAAGAAGCTCTAGCCATGCACCGATGGCCCATGCCCACAATCTTAGCTACTCAGAAGGCCGAAATCTGAGGATCATGGCTCAAAGCCAGCCCAAGGCAAGAAAGTCTGTGAGACTCTTATCTCCATTAAACACCACATAAGCCAGATGTGGAACTGTAGCTCAAGTGGTAGAGTATCTTTGAGCACAAAAGCTCAGGGACAGCACCTAGGCTCTGAGTTGAAGTCCCATGACTAGCACAAAAGAAAAGAAACTCTAGGTTTAAGCTGGGTGTCAGTGACTCATGCCAGTAAGGAGGCTGAGATCTAAGTATCACAGTTTGAAGCCAGCCTGGACAGGAAAGTCCATGAGACTTTATCTCCAATGAACCACCAGAAAACTGGAAGTGGTGCTGTGGCTCAAAGTGGTAGAGCACTAGCCTTGAGCAAAAAAAGCTCAGGGATAGAGTTCAGGCCCTAAGTTCAAGCCCTACAACCAACAAAAAGAAAGAAACGTTAGCCGGGCGCTGGTGGCTCATGCCTGTAATCCTAGCTACTCAGGAGGCTGAGATCTGAGGATTGCGGTTCAAAGCCAGCCCGGGCAGGAGCGACCGTGAGACTCCTATCTCCAATAAACCACCAGAAAACCAGAAGTGGCGCTGTAGCTCAAGTGGTAGAGCGCTCGCCTTGAGCTGAAGAGCTGAGGGACAGCACCCAGGCCCAGAGTTCAAGCCCCACGACCAACAAAAAAAAAAAAAAAGAAAGAAATGTTCTCTTTACCTGACTTAAGTAACTGTAACTCTTCTGTACTTCACCTTTATAATAACAAAGAAGGGAGTGGGGGCTGACCAGGCACTAGTAGCTCTCACTTATAATCCTAGCTACTTAGGAGGCTGAGATCTGAGGATCTTGGTTCAAAGCCAGCCTAGGCAGGAAAGTCCATGAGACTCTTAGCTCCAATAAACTACCAGAAAACCAGAAGTGGAGTCATGGCGCAGAGTGCTAGCTAGCCTTTAACGAGAGGTCAGGGTCAGCACCTAGGTCCTGAGTTCAAGCCCCACAACTGACTAAATGAATAAAAGCTGGAAGTGGAACTGTGGTTCAAATGATAGAATGCAAGTTTTGAAAGGAAAAAACTCAGAACATCCAGCCCCAAGTTCCAGTTCCTAGTACCAGAATGCATGCATGCATAAGCGCACGCGCGCATATGCACACACACACACACACACACACACACAGAATGAAAGAAAAAAAGAAAAGAAACTCTAGGTTCAGAGACCTGTAAGCTCGGAGAGGGAAGGCACTAGGAAGCCTAACCAGGGTGACCTTCAGAACTGTCTTTACTTCACCTCTGAAGTATGTAGAACCTGCTGACCAAGAAGAGAGATGGTCCAGATTTCAGTTCTTCCCCCAAATAAAAACTGGACCAGGAGGATGAAGCCCAAGGAGGTAGACAAGGACGGAGTTCCAATGCTGAGACCCCAGTCCAGCCCTGATTACCGACCTCTCCAGCACTCTTACACCTCCACCACCTCCCGCCCCTCATGCTCAGAGAAGGCCAGGGCAGCGTATAGCATTCAGAATACTTTTATTGCCAGAATCGAGGTACAGCCTGTTCAGAGTGGGACCCACCACTTGGGAACAAAGGGAGACAGATGTTGGACATGTGCACAACAGGGGAGATCCAGTGCCAAAAAATGCTGTGGGAGAGTGGCAGAGTCCAGCCTGAGGGTGTCTCTGGAACCCCAACCTAAAGGTTGGACCCAAGTTTGAGGTCACAGAAATTTCACCATCAGCACCATTCTTCCCATCAAGGGTCCTTTGCTCCACTTTTTTCTTCTTCTTTTCACTGCCATAGAGGAAAGATAAGAAACTGCCCCAGAGGCTTCACAACCTAAGACCCAGAACTTTGAATGGTCAGTTCCATTAAGGCAGTTCCCTGTTCTCACTGGGAAACTGCAGCATCCCTGGGCTCTAGGATCCTGGCCCTTGAAAGGGCCAATCCCTGCAGGTTAAATATCACTCAGTGGAAACAACAGGTAATTGGCAGGAGTCCCATCATCTCTTAGTACTGTGCCAGCCCAGCTGGGCACTAGAAAGACTCTAGGGCAGAGGTCAGCAGGGTGGTGGGGTTTGCACACAGCTCAGGATAGCTCTGAGCAACCGTGGTTGCTTTGAGTTCCCTTTCTTACAGGCACCTAGAAGAATAAAGCACTGGGTCCTGCTGTCCTTGGACCACAGAGCCAGAGCCATAGGAGGCAGCTTTAATACTGGAATCCATAACACAACCAAACAGATCAGAACTCCTGAGAGACAGCCACCAGAACTGCTGCCCATTCCATAAGTAGGCTGTTTCTGGAGATGAGAGGTAGGAGTGGAGTGAATGTCCCAAGACCTGGGAACCACGGAGAAGACCTCCAAACTGACCCTGCCTGCAGGGGAATACTGGGCTGTCCAGCAGAGAGGCCACGAGGAAGCCAGCAGCTCCTGCCACCCACAACCAGTGGTAGGCCAGAAGCCAGTGTATGGGAAGAATCACCTGAAACCTTTGCAAGCAAGGACCACAGCTCAAAAATAACCCTCACGAGAAGTCCAGGGTCCAGTGGACAAATGTAGGAAAGTCCATGGGTTAGCAGGACTGCATAGTCCCCAAATTGAGGAATGGAGTCAGGTGCCAAGCAACCCACCCTGCTGAGCCAGTGTGAGGTCACAGCATTTCATTCTATCAAGGATCCCTTGAGTCCACACTCTTTTCTTCCTTCCCCACTGCCACAGAAAGATAAGAAAGAACACTTCCCCCAGACACGTCACAGTCCAAGACCCAGGACTTTGAATGGTCAGTCACAAACTCTGCTAAGTTTGTGGGCCAAGAGAAGCCCCGTGGCTGAGCCATCCAGCAACTTGAGCCTGGCCCAGGAATCAAGGCCCAAGGAGCACACGTTTTAGGTAGGCCAGGGTGGTGGCGTTGGCTAACATTTCAATGTGCTCGCTGCCAGGCAGCTCCTGCAGTGACACCTGCTGCTCCTGGCGATTCTGCCACAATCGACACTGTAGGGAGCTCTCCAAGTTCACAGTCCCATCACCATCACCAAAGCAGATTTTCGGATCCCGGTCGGGGAAGTTCTCATAATAGAAAGACTCTGGCGTGGGCACACCAGTCCCATAGAGGCAATGCAGCTGCACACCTGGTGGCACCATGGCTTCAACCAGCCCTTCTGTGTCCTGCCGCATGAACCAGCCATCTTCAAAGCCAATGTCCTGGAAGAACCGGTGGTAGTCCCGCAGTGTATAGTTGGTTGTGGGTGTATGCACAAATACCTTGTCAGGTGACCAGGTATAGTTGTAAGGTAACAGCCAGCTGGTGGAGACAGCAGACCGCTGCTGCTCCCGGATCTTCAATGGCCCAATGACAGGGATTCGGTTGTTATCTCCTGCAGGGAGAGGGCTCCGGTCAGGCTATGCCCAGCAGGGCAAACTGACTAAGCAGCAAGTTTACCAGTCAGCAGCCTAGCTAACATTCCAGAATCTCAACACTGTCAATCATCATAACTCCTATCTCTGCATTGCCTTATATTGTTTCTCTTCATTTTGGCTCCATTTAGGAAAAACACTTCCAAGCCCTGCTCTTTCTTTCTTTCGGCAGTCATGGGGCTTAAACTCTGGGCTTGGGCGCTGTCCCTGCACTCTTCAGCTCAAGGCGAGCGCTCTACCGCTTGAGTCACAGCACCACTTCCAGTTTTCTAGTGGTTTATTGGAAATAAGAGTTTCATGAACTTTCCTGTCCGGGGCTGGCTTTGAACCGAGATCCTCAGATCTCAGCCTCCTGAGTAGCTAGGATTACAGGCATGAGTCACCAGCGCCCGGCCCCTGCTGTTTCTTTTAGTACTTCATCAGGGTTTTTTGCTGTTGTTGTTTTGTTGGTCATGGGGCCTGAATTCTAGGCCAGGGCACTGTCCCTCAGCTCTTCAGTTCAAGGCTAGTGCTCTACCACTAGAGCCACAGCGCCACTTCTGACTTTTTTTTTTTCTGCTTGTGTAGTGCTCAGGAATCGAATCCAGGGCCTCATGCATGCAAAACAAGCACTCTACCACTGAGCCATCTTCCCAGCCCCTCATCAGGGTTTTAAGCAGGACCCATTGCCGGGTGATTTATGTCTCCTCATCCACAAATGATCCCTCTTCTGGTATACTATCATGGCAGCAGGCACCAGCCTGATCTATGGTGAAGCATCCAGATGATACATTCCTCTTTCATCTTTCTCTCTGAACTTTTTTTGGGGGGATTGGCATGGGGCTTGAACTCTGGGCCTACGCACTGTCCCTCAGCACTTCAGCTCAAGGCTAGCGCTCTACCACATGAGCCACAATGCCACTTCTGGTTTACTGGTGGTTTGTTGGAGATAAGAGTCTCACAGAGGGCTGGGAAAGTGGCTCAGTGGTAGAGCACTTGCCTTGCATGCTCGAGGCCCTGGGTTCGACTCCTTAGCACCACATAAGAAAAAAGCCGGAAGTGGCGCTGTGGCTCAAGTGGTAGAGTGCTAACCTTGAGCTGAAGAACTGAGGGACAGCGCCCAGGCCCAGAGTTCAGGCCCCACGACTGGACCCAAAAAAAAAAAAAAAAAAAAAAAGAGTCTCACAGATTTTCCTGCCCAGGCTGGCTTTGGATCACAATCCTCAGATCTTAGCCTCCTGAGTAGCTAGGATTACAGACGTGAGCCACCAACGCCCAGCTAAACATATTTTTTAAAGTGTATACCAATCCTGGGGCTTGAATTCAGGGCCTGGACACTGTCCCTGAGCTTCTTTTTGCTACCACTTGAGCCCCAGCACCACTTCTGGTTTTCTGGTGGTTAATTGGAAATAAGCATCTCATTGACTTCCCTGCCAGGGCTGGCTTTGAACCTCTGCCTCCTGAGTAGTTAGGATTACAGGCGTGAGCCAGCAAGGCCCAGAGGACATTTTTCCATGGACCCAGACCAGCATTCAGCCAGCCTGGTCTCATCCCACCTAGCTGCCTCTTCAGTGACCTGGGTGGCCGGGGCTGCTGGAGACAGGGGCAGTGGAAGCTGCAGACAGAAACTCCTCAAAACATCCCCAGTGAGGGGCTGGGAAGGTGGCTCAGTGGTAGAGCACTTGCCTTGCATGCCTGAGGCCCTGGGTTCGATTCCTCAGCACCACATAAGCAAAAAGAAAAAAGTCGGAAGTGGCGCTGTGGCTCAAGTGGTAGAGTGCTAGCCTTGAGCTGAAGAGCTGAGGGACAGCGCCCAGGACCAGAGTTCAGGCCCCACGACCGGACCCAAAAAAAAAAAAAAAAATCCCCAGTGAGACTTCTGGAGGGAGTGAGCTAAGAGGGGCTTCTTCTGGGTGTAGCCTCTAGGAGTCTGTACATTTCCTTTTTTTTTTTTTTGGGATGGGGTGTTTGGTCGTGGGGCCTGAACTCTGGGCCTGGGCGCTGTCCCTCAGCTCTTCAGCTCAAGGCTAGTGCTCTACCACTTGAGCCACAGGGCCACTTCCGGCTTTTTCCCTTTTTTCTTATGTGGTGCTGGGGAATCGAACCCAGGGCCTCATGCATGCAAGGCAAGCGCTCTACCACTGAGCCACCTTCCCAGCCCTGAGTCTGTATATTTCCATCTCCTCATATCTCACCCCCACTCCTAGATGGCTAGGACTGACAAATTTCCCAGAATATGAGCTCTATGAGGTCTCATAAGGAAGAGTTGTAGAAGACCAGTCTTCACTTTTTCTTTTTTCTTTGTTTTTGAGGGGCCTGGGGCCTGGACACTGTCCCAGAACTGTGCTGCACGAAGCTAACACTCTACCACTTGAGCCACGGCTCCACCTTCAGCTTTTTTGGTGGTTAATTGGTAAGAAGAGTCTCACAAACTTTCCTGCCTGGGCTGGCTTCAAATTGTAGATCTCAGCCTTCTGAGTAGCTAGGATTACAGGCGTGAGCCACTGACACTCAACCAGGGCTTCATTCTTATCACCACTCCCTGTACAAATTCAGAGGGTACCTATCTTTTTTTATTTTGCCAGTCCTGGGGCTTGAACTCATGGCCTGGGCACTGTCTCTAAGCTTCTTTTGCTCAAGGTTTGCACTCTACCACTTGAGCCATAGCACCCACTTCTGGCCTTTTCATATGGTGCTGAGGAACTGAACCTAGGACTTCATGCATGCTAGGCAAGCACTCTACCACTAAGCCACATTCCCAGCCTGGTACCCATCTTTTTGAGTTCCAAGGTGGGCAGAGTAAATTGTCTAGGTTGAGGCCTCAGGATAAGTGAATGTCTGAGCCAGGAACTCACTGTCCAGTCAAATCAGGGTCACTTCTAGGAGAGAGTGTGGATCTGACCCAATCAATAATGATCAGTTAACTGAGCAGATCAGGCAGTGCCAGTGACTGCAGAAAGTTCATGAGTTTCTTGGGCTGGGAAAGTGGCTCAGTGGTAGAGCATTTACCTTGCATGCATGAGGCCCTGGGTTCGATTCCTCAGCACCACATAAGCAGGAAAAAAAAAAAAAAAAAGCTGGAAATGGTGCTGTGGCTCAAGTGGTAGAGTGCTAGCCTTGAGCTGAAGAGCTGAGGGACAGCACCCAGGCCCAGAGTTCAGGCCCCACGACTGGACCCAAAAAAAAAAAAAAAGAAAGTTCATGAGTTTCTCAACATGACCCTGTCTCAAGGCCCCCAAAGTGGCATAAGAGAGAAAGCTTCCGCAGCAGGAAGCCCCACCTCCCGGCTGCACATGGCAGGTTCTGACAGTCATAAAAGGGCAAGTGAATTGGAGAGGGACCAAGAAGGTAACTTTCCCAACTGCCAAGAGAGCAAGCTCAGACAGATCTGCACCTGTTTCCTCCTTGCATTGCCCAGAGAAACTTCCTTCTGCTCACACAGGGAAGTGTAACTCATGAGCAGGAAATTGTTGTCCAGTCTTTGATGTGTGTATATATATATAAGCAAAGTACATCGTGCCTGCCATTCCATGATGAGGTCTCAGAAGCTTATACTGATTGCCAAGTGTTATCAACTAGAGAGGTGAAATTAGGAGTGTTAGGAGTAGTGTTAATCTTTTCTTCTCTTTTTTTTTTTTGTCAGTCATGGGGTCTGAACTCTGGGCCTGGGCGCTGTCCCTCAGCTCTTCAGCTAAAGGCTAGTGCTCTACCACTTGAGCCACAGCACCACTTCTGGCTTTTTCTGCTTATGTCATACTGAGGAATCGAACCCAGGGCCTCATGCATGCTAGGCAAGCACTCTACCACTGAGCCACCTTCCCTGCCCAGTGTTAATCTTTTTTTTTTTTTTTTTTTTTTGGTCAGTCATGGGGCCTGCACTCTGGGCCTGGGTGCTCAAGGCTAGCGCTCTACCACTTGAGCCACAGCACCACTTCTGGCTTTTTCTCCTTATGTGGTACTGAGGAATCGAACCCAGGGCCTCATGCATGGAAGGCAAGCACTCTACCATTAAGCCACCTTCCCCGCCCAGTGTTAATCTTTTTTGAAGAAAAAAAAATAAGTATTTGAAAAAGAATGTCACTCTGGAAAAAGAGGGTGTCCAGGGAAAGAAACATGAAGTATTAGCGCAGTGGAAAAAAGAGAGCGAGAGACAGATGAAGAGAGTGAGGGAGGGAGATTGATTGGCTTCGGGAACAAAAGTCCACTTGTCCATGTAGGTCTTACCTGAGGCCAGGACACGCAGGGTCTTGGCCACACCCCCCCAGGGTGCGCCCAGTGACACAAAGGCACGGATGTACTTGTCCTTCCAGGCCTGGGGTTGCCGCTGCAGAAAGTAGAGCGTGTACATGTTGCCCATGCTGTGGGCAACCAGCACCACGGGGCCCCCATACAGCTGGTACATCTCCTCGATCATCTCTCGGAGGGCCAGGAAGTAGGGCCCGTTTTCATCTGCAGGCCAGAGCCAAGCAGGGGTCAGGAGTCAACCACTAACCAATCTTCAGGCAAGACCCAAGACTAGGGAGAGTACTAACTAGAGTTAGGGAGAGTACTAAAACCTAAGTGAGACATCTGGTCCCTTCCCATGCCACCTCAGCCTCCACAAAGGAATGCCCAAGAGGTTTCTTCCCCTCCCTCCCCCAGTCTTAGGCCCTTCTTCCCCAAGGACTTAGAGCTAGAGCCCAGAGGCCACCCAGGGCTAGGAGAGAGACCAAGACCTATGGTGGCTAAGACTGCTTTGTTCCCCCTTCCTCAACCTCAAGGAAGGAATGAGGGTGACTTCTTACTTGGGGCTCGGCGCCAGTCATAGGGGGCCCCTCGGACATCTTCGCCCTGTGTGTAACCCCAGCCTACAAGGCTCTCCACCATGGTGTGGAAATAGGAACCTAAAGACAGAAAGGTATAGGATTAGCCAAGGTATAGCCAATGCCAGCCACCACCCCTACCCTGACACCACACCTGCCACACACAGTGTGACATTCATCTCTGGAAGGTGACAGGGATCTGTGACCATGCTGATCAGAGACAGCACTCCTCTAGGAATTCAGCAAAAGCCCCTTCTATCCCCTGGAGGCCCTAAACAAAAGCCACATACATACCCACACTGCTTTTGCTGGGGTCCAGGAACTCCAATGAGAAGGTCTTCCCAAAGCCAGGGACACGCACATCCACACCATCAGGGAACTGAGTGGCCCGAGATGTTCGGTTATAGGCCAGTCTGTCAGGAGGAGATCGAGGCAGTGACCCAGACATGACACTGAGGTTGGTACATCCCAACACTGTTCTGTGACCTGGGCCATAATTACATCCTTTCATCCACAGTATAAGGAGCGGAAAAGGTAACAATAAGCACTGAAGATATAGCTCAAGTGGTAGAGAACTTGCTTAGTAAGCATAAGGCCCTGAGTTCAAATCCCCAGTACCCCAAAAGAAAAGCATGTAATAAAAATTTGTAAAAACACAAATGAGAGGAACTGTATCTAAATGAGGACCTCACCAAAGCTTATTTACTCTTTATAAGACTGTCCACAGGACTCCTGCCAAAGCAAAATTCCCTTCTCTTTGGTGTCATCTGCCCCAGTAGGAAGGTCTTAGGCTGGTTAAAAAAAAGTCTCAGGTGCTGGAAACTTGGCTCAGTGGTAGAGTGCTTGCCTTACATGCATGAGGCCCTGGGTTTGATTCCTCAACACCACATAAGCAGATAAAGCCAGAAGTGGCGCTGTGGCTCAAGTGGTAGAGGCTAGCCTGAAGCTGAAGAGCTGAGGGACAGCACCCAGGCACAGAGTTCAGGCCCCAAAACCAACAAAAAAAAAAAGAAGAAGAAGAAGAAGTTTCAGGGCTGGGAATGTGGTTTAGTGGTAGAGTGCTTGCCTAGCATGCATGAAGCCCTGGGTTCAGTTCTTCAGTAGAACATATACAGAAAAAGCCAGAAGTGGGTAGAGTGCTAGTCTTGAGCAAACGAAGGTCAGGGCTCAGGACCTGAGTTCAAGCCCCAGGGCTGGGAAGGAAAAAAAAAAGTCTCAGTCCTGGCTCTGTTGTAAACTTCATACTTGACTCCAAGAAGCAGTCTACCCTTGTAGTTTCCCTTTGCTCCAAGGACTGCAGCCATCCACTTCAATGCCTCACAGAACAAAGGAGATAGTGGCTACTTTATGGATAAGTGGGCAGAGGGCAGGTAGGGAAAGAGGAGAAGGACCCTGTGCAAACTCAGATGGATGTAGCTAAGACCCATCTGCTCTGGCCATTGGACCCAGCATAGCTATCCTTTCTGCAGCCCAACAATCCGCGAAGGAAATGAACCATGACACATGGCCTGCTTGGTATCCTATCAACTGCCAGCCAACTGTAACAATCATTTGCCCAGCAAATTCCTAAAAGCAGTGACATATGACATATGAACTGCTAGCTTCTTAGGATCCCAAGAGCCCTCAGGTAAAATTTTTCTGTTGCTGTGGAACAAATTACCATAGATTAAGCAGCTTTTAACACTACATATACTATCTCCTCCTTTCTGTAGCAATGGTATAAAACAGAAGCAGACAATAAGGACTTGGATCTCAGGACTGAGTATATACACAGCTGTTTCACCCCTCCTTAGTCAGGGGGACTGCAGGGCTTGGAAAAATGGAGATGAGGGAGTGTAGAAAAGCCTGGTGCTAGTCTAGGAAATTTGCTCTGGCCTCACCTGACCAAAGAGAGAGGAGAGGGAGAAATAGACCCCCCAAAACCCTGAAGTTCCTGGTGATCCTGGGTCTTATGTACCCTTAAAGATCGATCACAGAGGGCTGGGAAGGTGGCTCAGTGGTAGAGCACTTGCCTTGCATGCATGAGGCCCTAGGTTCAATTCCTCAGCACCACATAAGAAAAAAGAAAAAAGCCGGAAGTGGCACTGTGGCTCAAGTGGTAGAGTGCTAGCCTTGAGCTGAAGAGCTGAGTGACAGAGCCCAGGCCTGGAGTTCAGGCCCCACAACTGATAAAAAAAATAAAAATAAAAAGATCAATCACAGAGGGCTGGGAAGGTGGCTCAGTGGTAGAGCACTTGCCTTACATGCATGAGGCCCTAGGTTCGATTCCTCAGCACCACATAAGAAAAAAGAAAAAAGCCGGAAGTGGCACTGTGGCTCAAGTGGTAGAGCACTAGCCTTAAGCTGAAGAGCTGAGGGACAGCACCCAGGCCCAGAGTTCAGGCCCCATGACCGGATCCAAAAAAAAAAAAAAAAAGATCAATCACAGAGTCAGAAGCCGGTGGCTCACTCCTATAACCTAGCTACTCAGGAGGTTGAAATCTGAGGATTGCAGTTTAAAGCCAGTCCAGGCAGAAAAATCCCTATGAGGCTCATGTCCAATAACTACTCAAAAAAGCCAGAAGTAGTGCTGTGGCTCAAGTGGTAGAATACTAACCTTGAACACAAAGAGACTCAGGGACAGTACCCAGGTCCTGAGTTCAAGCCTTAGAACCAGAAAAAAAAAAAATCAATCACAGAAAGTTAGCAACTCCCAAATATTAAGTCCTGGGGGCCCACTTTCTTCAGTATGTACATGGCCACCCTGGGTAGCATAGAAAGTTGTTTTGGAAAGCAAAAGTAGTCTATGCTAGAAGAAATCCAAAGAGATCAGAGGAACAACAAATCAGAAAAATTCCTCTCAGAATCAGATTATACTGCCAATTGCCAGTATCTGGGGTCATGTCTCTTATTATAAAAATAGAAATGCAGATCAGCAGCACAAAAATAACCCCAGTGATCCACCAAGGAAGAAAGAGTCAACAAAGCAGACAATAGAAACAACAAGAATGGTCAGGTTAGCTGGCCACACTGTGGCTCATGCCTGTAATTCTAGCTAATTAGGAGGTTGAGATCTGAGAATCAAGGGTCAAAGACAGCCTAGGCAGGAAAGCCAGTGAGACTCTTATTTCCAAATAACCAGCTGAAAACCAGACATAGTACTGTGGCTCAAATGGTAGAGCACTATAGCCTTGAGCTGAAGAGCTCAGGGACAGCACCTAGTCCCAGAGTTCAAGTCCTGTGACTGACAAAAAAAAAAAAAAAAAGGTCAGGGTGCCTGGAGAACCAGAAAACAGTTCGTTGGCAAGAACTTAATTTGTGAAGCTCCAGTTAGCTCAACCATACACAGGGTTCTGGCTGTTCTTGGTTCTGCTGTTACTAAAGATATAACCTAGATATAGCCTTGCCTCTCAGAGGACTCAGTGTAGGAAGGATACTTTAGCTCAGAGTCACACAATTCTGGGTATGAATTCTGATTCAGTTACTAGCTGAGTGAGCATAAGCAATTTTGTAACTTCTTCGAGCTTCCAGATTTCTTTATCCATAAAGCAAGTTTGTTCCATTGCAGTGCTCAGGATCAGACCTGGGGCCTTACGTATGCTAGGCAAGTGTTCTTCCCATGAGCTATATCCCCAGGCTTTTGTGAAGCAGGTTTAAAAACAGCATCTGTTCCAAGAGGAAGTTCGTAAGACCAAATGAAAGAAGTCATGTGGGGGCTGGGAAGGTGGCTCAGTGGTAGAGCACTTGCCTTGCATGCCAGAGGCCCTGGGTTCAATTCCTCAGCACCACATAAGCAAAAAGAAAAAAGCCGGAAGTGGCGCTGTGGCTCAAGTGGTAGAGCGCTAGCCTTGAGCTGAAGAGCTAAGGGACAGCGCCCAGGCCCAGAGTTCAGGCCCCATGACCGGACCCAAAAAAACCAAAAAAACAAAGAAGTCGTGTTAGTTGAGGACAAAAAACATTCTGAGAAATGCATAATTCAGTGAATGATGTAAACATCATCACGGTATCCTAACACAAATTATGGCTTCTTGATACAGTCAAGAGACTTAAGTAAACCTGTTTGCCAGATGTGGTGGCATAAACCTGTTATCCTAGCTACTTGGGAGGTAGAGGCTGGAGGCCATTCATTTCAAAGTTAATAGAGTAATGCATACCTGTATTCCTATTACTTAGGAGTGTATGACAGGAGGATTGTGAGTTTGAGGCCAATCTAGATTACAAAGTAAGAGTTTGACTGAAAAGAAAAATTAATTTTAAAAAATCATGAGATATATATGAGGCTGCTACTGGTATGTAATGTAATGTATGTAATGTAATTTTACAGCAATCTCTTTTTTTTTATTATTTTATTTATTCATTTATTTATTTATTTTTTGTCTGGGCCTGGGCGCTGTCCCTCAGCTCTTCAGCTCAAGGCTAGTGCTCTACCACTTGACCCACAGCGCCACTCCTGGCAGCAATCTCTTTTTTTTTAACTTTCCACTTCTGGGGCTTGAACTCAGGCCTTCACATTCTCAGTTGGCTTCGATTTGTCTACCTGGGCTGGCTTTGATCTGAGTTGCTAGGTATGAGCCACAGGTACATAACCTTTTTTTTTTTGGTCAGTCTTGGGGCTTGAACTCTGAGCCTGAATGCTGTCCCTCAGCTCTCAGCTCAAGGCTAGTTCTCTACCACTTGAGCTACAGCGCACTTCCAGTTTTCTGGTGGTTTATTGGAGATAAGAGTCTCATGGACTTTCTTGCCCGGGCTGGCTTTGAACCGCAATCCTCAGAACTCAGCCTCCTGAGTAGCTAGGATTACAGGTGTGAGCCACCAGTGCCCAGCTGACCGGTTTGTTTTGAGATAAGGGTCTGGCTATGTAGTACAAACTGGCCTTGAACTTAATCCTGGGATTATAGGCATCTGTTACCATATCCAACTAGACTTTCATTTGTTTTTTGTTTTGTTTTGGTCCGGTCGTGGGGCCTGAACTCTGGGCCTGGGCGCTGTCCCTCAGCTCTTCAGCTCAAGGCTAGCACTCTACCACTTGAGCCACAGCGCCACTTCCGGCTTTTTTCTTTTTGCTTATGTGGTGCTGAGGAATCGAACCCAGGGCCTCTGGCATGCAAGGCAAGTGCTCTGCCACTGAGCCACCTTCCCAGTCCCTCATTTGTTTTTTATAAGTAAGAGTATATTCCAAAAAAACTAAAAAGTTATGTATATAATAGTTATGTATGTAGTAAACACATAAAGCAGCAACATCAAGTATTGTGTACTAGGTTGCTTATACTAGCATCACAAGCAAGTGAATAATGTATTTCATATTAGGGTTTGATGGCTACAAAGTCATTAGATGACAGGACTTTTTTTTTTTTGCCAGTCCTGGGGCTTGAACTCAGGGCCTGGGCACTATCCCTGAGCTTCTTTAGCTCTGGGCTAGGACTCTACAACAGCACCACTTCTGGCTTTTTCTGTTTATGTGGTACTGTGGAATCAAACCCAGGGCTTCATGCATGCTAGGCAAGCACTCTACCACTAAGCCATATTCCCGGCCCTGACAGGACATTTTAAACTCTATTATAGTCTTTTTCCTTTTCTTTTTTTTTTTTTTTTTTTTTGCCAGTCCTGGGACTTGAATTCTGCACCTAGGCACTGTCCCTGAGCTCTTTTGCTCAAGGCTAGTATTCTACCATTGAGCTACAAGGCCACTTCAGCTTTTTCTGTGATTAATTGGAAATAAGAGTGCCATGAGGCAGGGAAGATGGCTCAGTGGTAGAGTGCTTGCTCTGCATGCATGAGGCCCTGGGTTCTGTTCCTTAGCACAACATAAGCAGAAAAGGCCGGAAATGGAGCTGTGGTTCAAGTGGTAGAGCACTTGCCTTGAGCTGAAGGGCTGAGGGACAGCGCCTAAGCTGAGTTCAGGCCTCAGGACTGACAAAAAAAAAAAAAAAGATACATTGTACTAATAACCTGACTTGGAGCAACCCTGTGGGAGAATATGAATGCCAAGGCGATGAGGTCTAATAAAGAGAATTGGAGGAGTGCCATTCCCTGACTTTTAGAAAGCTGGGAGTGGCCTGAGAAAGATCAATCACTCCTTAGCATTACAGAACCCCAAGATTCTACCCTAAATGTGATTAATCCAGACTCAAACTTTCTTGGACCTTGAAGTTACATAAAGGCTATGCCAACTGTACTTGTATGCTACTTGCCTTACTAAGATAAGAAAGTTATTTATCCTATCATTGTTTCATCTGCTAGTGTCTGTAACTCCAAAGGAGATTACTACCTTACTTTCTGCAAGTACTTCCCTGTGCCAAAATCAATAAGGACCCTGTTAACGGGACTTTGGGGTTGTCTGTTGCTTGTGAGGGGCAACAGACCCTCTGCTGCCCCAAAACCAGTTCCACAGTTAATGCCTTGCTCCAGGTCACAGTGGGTTATGGTGCTCATGGGCAGATCGCAACACAGCCCCTTTGTACACATTTTTTAAATTTTATTGTTATTATAAAAGTGATGTACAGGGGCTGGGAAGGTGGCTCAGTGGTAGAGCACTTGCCTTACATGCATGAGGCCCTGGGTTCGATTCCTCAGCACATAAGCAAAAAGAAAAAAGCTGGAAGTGGTGCTGTGGCTCAAGTGGTAGAGCGCTGGCCTTGAGCTGAAGAGCTGAGGGACAGTGCCCAGGCCCAGAGTTCAGGCTCCATGACCAGGCCCCCCCCCCCCTCAAAAAAAAAAGATCCTATTTTAGAAGTGGCAGTGTAACTCAAGTGGTAGAACACTGGCCTCAAGCTGAAGACATCAGGGACAGCACCCAGGCCTAGACTTCAAGCTCCATGACTGAAAAAAAAAAAAAAAAAAAGACTCAGCATAGTCTCTGGGCTGGGAATGTGGCTTAGTGATAGAGTGCTTGCCTAGCATGCATGAAGCCTTGGGTTTGATTCCTCAGTACCACATAAACAAAAAAGCCAAAAGTGGTACTATGGCTCAAGTGGTAGAGTGCTAACCTTGAGCAAAAGAAGTTCAGGGACAGTGCCCAGGCCAAATTCAAGCCCCAGGACTGGCAAAACACACACACACACACACACAAAATCAAGATCTTTTCTCAAAACAATACAACAACAAAAACAGACCAGGTACTGATGGCTCACACCTGCAATCCTAGCTACTCATGAGGCTGAGATCTGAAAATCACAGTTCAAAGCCAGCCAGGTCAGTGAAATCCATAAGACTCTCAACTCCAACTACCAAAAAGCCAGAAATAGAGCTTTAGCTCAAATGGTAAGCACTAGCTTTGAACACAAAAGCTCAAAGACAGTGCCCAGGCCCTAAATTCAAACCCTAGGACTGGCATAAAACAAAACAGAAACAAAAATAACAACCATAAAAACCATCATATATAAGGCCTGAGGGCTGATTGAACCAGAGAAGCTAGAGACACAAGCAGAAGGAAGAGAAAGAAAGTTCTGTCAGGGACTGGGAAGGTGGCTCAGTGGTAGAGCGCTTGCCTTGCATGCATGAGGCCCTGGGTTCGATTCCTCAGCACCACATAAGCAGAAGAAAAAAGAAGCCGGAAATGGCGCTGTGGCTCAAGAAGTTGAGCACTAGCCTTGAGCTGAAGAGCTGAGGGACAGCGCCCAGGTCAGAGTTCATGCCCACCACTGGACCCCAAAAAAAAAAAACAAAGAAAGTTCTGCCAGAAACAGTGCAGAAATAGCTGATCAGAGTAGATCAGTCTAGACCAGAACAGACTAGAGCCTGGGGACAGAGAGAGGTCATTGACCTCCAGTTTTCTAGAGGCTGGATAAGAAGGAAATGGAATCTGGAGGCCTCTCAGGGTCCCACTGGTACCTTGTCTGTGTGCCCTAGGCCTCACCTGATATTGTCAATCCAGCAGTCAATGATGACGGGCAACAGCAGCTCAAGGTTCAGCCAGAGTGTGAAATAACTGTCCGTCTTCTTGGAGCAAAGGTAGTGCACGACCTTTGGCTTGTCCAGCTTTGCTTCCAGCTGATTGCCCAAATCACCGGGCACTGCAGGGGGTCAAAGAACATATGTAAGCCCTGTGCTTTGCAGGCTGGAGACCCCCAAGAACCCTGAAGTCTGAAGACGACTATAGCTCTGGATAAGATGGCAGACCTCTGCGCTTGCACTCCATATTAGTTAAAATACAGTGCCAGGGGCAAAAATATCAGAGGCCAACACTCTGCTACCTTCAAGCAGAACTGCCACAGGGTGCATATTGGTGGGAAAGAAGCTTGAGGGCTTAGAGTTTGGGGAGCTTGGTAAAGACCTAATGTTTTTTCTTTTTTTGGTGGGGGGGTCCGGTCGTGGGGCCTGAACTCTGGGCCTGGGCGCTGTCCCTCAGCTCTTCAGCTCAAGGCTAGCACTCTACCACTTGAGCCACAGCGCCACTTCTGGCTTTTTTCTTATGTGGTGCTGAGGAATCGAACCCAGGGCCTGCAGCATGCAAGGCAAGCGCTCTACCACTGAGCCACCTTCCCAGCCCCAGACTTAATGTTTTTGGTCGGGGAAACCAACCCCAGAAAAAAAAAATAAGTCCTTTAGTGGGGTGCCACTGACTCACATCTGTAATCCTAACTACTAAGGAGGCGGAAAGCTGAGAATCCTGGTTCAAAGCCAGCTTGGGCATTAAAAAAAAAAAAAAAAAGCACCAAAAAAGCTAGAAGTAGAGCTGTGATTTCACTTCCAGTAGAACATTAGCATTGAGCTTAAAGAAGCTCAGAGACAGTGCTTAGGCCCTGAGTTCAAGCTCCAGGACCAGCACAAAATAAATATATCCTAATAAATAAATCCTCTAGAGCTTCATTGGAACTTCCTTCTGAGCTAGTCACACAAGGGAAGGGAGATCAGGTAAAGTCACTGCCCCATGCAAGCCTCCAGTTTTCTTATTTGTCAAAAGAGCTCTATGGGTGGCTCATACCTGTAATCCTAGCTACTCAGGAGGCTGAGATCTGAGGATCACAGTTTGAAGGCAACATGGGCAAGAAAGTCCTTGAGACTCCTCTGTCTAATTAACCACTCAAAAACTGGAAGTGGCGTTCTGGCTTAAAGTGGTAGAGTGACAGCCTTGTGCAAAAGAACTCAGGCATAGTGCCTAGGCCCTAAGTTCAAGCCCCAGGTTTGGCATACACACAGACAAAATACAATATGTTTGGGGAGAAAACATTCAGAGAGAGAAAGGACGGTATCATCTGGGTGCTTCATCTTAGATAAGGCCTGTAAAGGACCCCAGGCCTTATTACAGGACAGTAAAGTTCAAGAGTGTATGTTAAAACCTGCTGCATGCTCCTTAATCCCCTGTAACCGGGAGCAACACAGTAAAGGAGACTGGACAGTGGAACTGAGGTTTGAGGTACCAGGAGACCAGTAGCCTTCTGCCAGCAACAGACCCTAAGGTTCCATCAACAAAGGTTTTTATCGGTCTTGTGCAAGGAAGTAAGGAGAGCCAAACAGTAAACAGACTACAATTTACATAAACCTAAGTCTACCCTTAGGCTCCCACACAGTTTAGGTGGAATCTGAGTTCTCCTTAAGGCTGCACTGATTGACCTTTCCAAAAAAGAACTTGGCATTCTGAGAGTATGGCTTTTTCTGCTTATGTGGTGCTGAGGAATCGAACCCAAGGCCACATGCATGCAAAGCAAGCACTCTACCACTGAGCCACATTACAGATGGCTACTTTGAAATAGCATACCATTCCAGACATAGCCCAGAAAGGTTGTATGTGACCTGGCCACAAAGAAGACTTGATTCCATTTCAGCCAACCTGTTCAGTCCATATAGAGACGCCATTCCAGTGCTCTATTGCCCAGCATTCAAAACTTTCCACAGATTACTACTTTCCCTCCTGGATCTTTAGGACATACCTACCCTTTCATGCTATCCTCTGGATACTTCTAAAACACAGCCCTATTAGGATCCATGATCCTAAATAGTGAACAGACAGGGTTCAGATGTCCTTGGCATTCTACTGGATGTTGACTATGAATCCTATGAACCCAAGCCAAGCCAGAACCTGCCTTCCTGGTGCACCATATCAGTGCCATGGGAAGTAGGTATGGCACCCGCTCTCACCTCCTGTCATGATGATTTATGTGCTGATGCAGGGAGCTCCACAACCTCTTGATATGTATGTGGATGGACATATGGATGGTCAGTCTCCATCAAAGGGGAAATGGCTGAAAGAGGAAGCTACCATAGCTGCTTTGCGCAGATACCCCTTGCCCTGGTCAGGCTGTGTGGTGTCTAAAAATAGCAGTGGCCACTTCCTGAAGCCCTTTGTATCTGGAACTAGGCACAAGAGCCATACACAGGGTACCTTTTACCTCAAATAACACTGGGAGGAGAACATCTTTTCCTCATCTTCACAGATGAAGAAACTGAGGCTGGGAGAAGTAGGAGTGTCTTGTCTAAGTCCCTTTTCTCCTACATAGGGCCATCTATCTAGCTCTGATGCCTCTTCTACCAATTCAGGACTCATAACTCGAGGATTTCAAACCTCAAAATCAGGGTTGCAAATGTGGCTTAGTGGACGAGTGCTTGCCTATAGCATGCTCATGAAGCCCTAGGTTCGATTCCTCAGTACCATATAAACAGAAAAAGCCAGAAGTGGTGCTGTGGCTCAAGAGGTAGAGTGCTAGCCTTGAATGACAGAAGCTCAGGGACAGTACCCAGGCCCTGAGTTCAAGTCCTACAACAAAAGAAAGAAAGAAAAGAAAATCACTTTCCTACTCTGTATCTAGACTGAGCTCACCCACTGCTCACAAGGGGATCTCTGAGTTAATATGATCAGCCTCACTCCCAGAGAAGATGGGCAAATTAAAATTCCAGCTTTTCAGATCACTCTGCTGTAACCTTGGATAACTAAGAACTAGATGAACTAAGAAGAGCAGTCAGCACCACTCCAAGCAAAAATGTGGCAAAACCTTTGTGACCACAGACCAAAAACTCCCAATTCCATATACCGCATTCTAAGAACTCTTTAAGCCCACACATAGCTTCCTTTGACCCCCAAGATAAAGTGTGCACATGACTCAGGTCACAAGCCTTGCACAATCCACTCCCCACCCCATTCCAGCCTTCTTTGACTGGTTCCCTAGAACTCTTTCCTGATTTTAGTTCCAGAATACTTCAGAAAGTCTTGCCTGACACACACATATTCTAGTTTGACTCGGACCTCACTTCTGGGATTACTGTTATCCCTTACGTGGAAGTTTGGGAAAGGAGGGTCAAATTTTTGTGAATCTTAAGGTAAACCTGAGCCCAGAATTCCCCTGAGTCACTTCCTGTCCTGGAACCTTACTATGCCTCCTGGGACCACTTTGCCTCTCATGCTCATTAAAACAGTCCCAACAGAAAGAGGAGGTCAAGTTCTCGCAGATTACCTGTAGAACCTGTGACTCAATTAAGCCTCTTGCTGGCCACACCAGAACTAAATGGGGGCAATGGGCTAAAGGAAGTACCTGAAAGCGTCCTAGACAGAAGCCACGTTCTGTCCCAGCACCACAAGAAAACATGTGGCTCCTATTCAATTGCCCAGTTTGGAAGCAAGGAGAGAGTGGGCAGGAGAGATCACCTAGCTCCAACAGAACCAGCTTAAACTAGGTCTGGCAGGAGTGAAAAGTATAGCTATGTTCCCAGACACTTGTATAGCCAAAGGTGCCATCATTTTCCCTGCCTTCAGCAATTCTTGTTCGCTTTGGGCCTCTTGTGCACAGGCCCAATACCACTTCTCTGATAAGGTGAGGGTAAGGGAAAATAAGCTTGGTGTCCAGCTAAAGTGGCAATCTCTTCCCAAAAAACTAGCTTCCAGTAATGCTTTCTGGAAACATAGAGGCGTTGAGGGTGACAGCTCGGAACCAATTCTGAGGTCACCAGCCCTCAAAAGTGGAACTGAACCATCTCAGGCTTCCCAGCTTAAAAAAAAAAGGTATGTAAAGACAAGGTTTGGAACCAAGGCGGAAAGGTAGGAGTAGACGTTCAGACAGCAACCCTCCATTTACTCCCTTTTCTTAAGAGGTTGGAGACACAGGTGGTGGCAGGAGGCTGACCACACCCGTGCCCAGCTAGGCGGGAGGTGAGCCAGTGGATCCAGGTGACAAAATCAAGGTAACCAAGGTGATCAAGACATCTCTCCGTCGGTGCTTAACACAGATGCAGACCGGGAAGACCTCCCCCCCACCACCACCTCCGCGGGCACCTCTTCCTGCAGGACCCACCCACCATGAAATGCACGCCTCACCAAGCACCACAGGGGGATGTCTCTGGGCCGGGAGCGCCGGGTCCGAGAGCAGCATTAGCAGCAGGAGGAGGAACAAGAGGCCTTTCGGGAGCAGGGCGGCGCGGCAGGGGCGGGCAAGGTGGTCCATGGCGCTGTGCACAGCTGTAACACGGACGCGCGCGTTTAAAGCTCAGGGCTTGTACCTAGGCCAGGCCAGCAGCTACGTGCTTAACCCCGCCGCCCACAGCCTCTCGGCCAATTAGAACCCAGCTCTCGCAAACAACCTGCCAATAAGGACTTGCCGCCAGGCGCGTCCCTCCCACCCGAGCTCGTCGCCCCGCCCTTGCCCACCTCTGGGCCCGCTCTCTAGGAAGTGTTGCGCGCCGAGCACATCGATGGGTCAGGGGAGAGTTGGCCCCGGCTTGCAGCTCACCCCGGCCACCCTCAGCCTCAGCCCGCGCTCCCCGACTGGCGACTGTGTACTCAGCCCAACCAAGCCCAGTACCTTAAGTACCCGCAGTCCACGCTGCACAACATACACGCCAGAGTCAGCACTTGCGCTGAACCACCCCCTCCAAAGCAAGAGGGGACATAAACCCAGGGAAATTCTTGGATCTTCGATGGCCAGACCTGACCGGGAATTGTGTGCCATTCCCGGGTTCTTCCCAACTCTCTCCCAAGGACACCAAGGCCCGAGGCCCAGTCAGCCCGCTCCGTTTCCAAGTGAGAGGTCTGTCCATTCATTTAGGGGAGGGAGCATGGCTGTGACCCAACCAGATGAAGCCGTTTGGGAATAGAGTTGGAAGTGGCTTCATCTGCAGCCCTGCACTCGGGCCCTTTCATAAATTCTCCATGCGGAGTAGGACAGACATCAGAACCAGTATTTGCCATCTTCTCCCCCACCCCAGGCAAACCTGGGGTGATACAACACACCAGGTGCCAGGAAGGAGGCCAAATAGTCACAGGACAGCAGGTATATACCAGCATTATATGACACTCTAGGACAGCGAAACCAGTGTGTTTGGAGAATGGAGGGTTTTAGGTTTATTTTTCCTGAGACAGAGTCTCACTCTGTAACCCAGGCTGTCCTGACAGTACAATTTTCCTCCTGGCCTCTCTGATTCTGGGATTCTAGACATATACCACTACTCTGCAGGGAATGAAGGGCTTGATCCTCGAGGCCAGCGATACCCTGGTCATCCTTGCCTGGTCTAAGGATCTCTGTCCTGCTGCTTCTTTCCTTCCATCTTGGTAAGCAACTGACCCACCATAAAGTTAATCGATATGTTCAACTGCCCATTGTGAGTTCCTGTAATGAAAACAAGTGAATAGGGTGCACCTTCCTCTGTGTTTGTGTGTGTGTGTGGTGTGTGTGTGTGAGAGAGAGAGAGAGAGAGAGACAGAGAGAGAGAGAGCGCACACAGGCACGCACGTGCATGCTGGTCCTGGGGCTTGAAGTCAGGGCATGATTACTGATCTTTTTTGCTCAAGGCTATCACTCTGCTGTTTGAGCCACATCTCCACTTCTGGCTTTTTGGTAGTTAATTGAATTTTCCTGCGAGGCTGCCTTTGAACTGGGATCATCAGATCATCAGATCTCAGCCTCTTGAGTAAGATTACAGGCTCGGAGTACTCAGTTCCTCTTATCTCTTTTTTTTCTTTTTGCCAGTCCTGGGGCTTGAACTCAGGGCCTGGAGAGCTTCTTTTGCTCAAGGCTAACACTACCATTTGAGCCATAGCACCATGTCTGACTTTTTCTGTGTACGTGGTACTGAGAAATTGAACCCAGGGCTTCATGCATACTAGGTGAGCACTGTACTACTAAGCCACATTCCCAGCCATCCCTCTACTCTCTTGAGGTCTAACTATCTATTACCTTAAACCATGACTTCTCACCCTCAACCCTGGAACCAACAAAAGGTAGCTGAAGATTGATGCTGTGATGGAAGAAATGTGGGTGAGTAGAGATCCTTCTGCCAGAGTGAAGACAGGCAGAAGTCCAGAGCCTGGGGGTTGGGGGCGGGGGGAAGATCAGGAGAGGCTGGACAGCCTTGGGCTCTGACCAGTCTAAGCATCTTGTCAGCCTGTCAGCGCAGTCTCAGGTGACCATGGGACCCTGGACAGGCAGCCCTGTCAGGAAGCTTGCTGGTGGTACTCCACCTCCATATGGTGTTCAGGTGTTAGGAACTGACAGGTAGCAGTTAGCCTTGTGCTATGGAGAAATCAAAAGGGGAAACCACCATAGTAGGAATGTCATACAATTGTTGGGTTTTTTTGCACCTACCTAAGGATTAATAAATGGCTCCATTAATTTCTTTTCTCCTCCCCCCCCCCCCCCCCCCCCCGCCTTTCACTCTTTGTCTTGAACTCAGAGCCTGGGTGCTGTCTCTGAGCTTCTTTCCTCAAGGAAAATGCTCTACCACAGCCCCATTTGCAGTTTTCTGGTGGTTAATTGTAAAGAAGAGTCTCACAGGCTTTCCTGCTCAGGCTAACTCTGAACCTCCATCTTCAGATCTCAGCCTCCTGAGTAGCTAGGATTACAGATGTGAGCCACCAGAAATCAGGAAAAAAGGCTTCATTTCATACTAAAGCAAGTCAACAAATAGTTCTTGGCACAGTAGATTCTTTTTTTTTTTTTTAATTTTATTTTACTTTATTTGAGAACATACTGTACAGAGGGGTTACAATTACATGGGCAGGATAATGCATACATTTCTTACCAAGCATTGCAGCCTCCTCCTTTGTTTACCCTTCACCTCCCTTCCCACCCTCCCCTCTCCCCCCCACCCAATCAAACCCCCCCTCCCCCCCACTCCGACATTATAAAGCTGGTTTTGACATGACATTTTGTACTTCTCATTGTTGCAACAGGTCCTCCTGAATCCTTAAACGACTTGTTTGTCCCCGTCTCCTCCACATGTTATACTGACATCAAATATAGTGAAAGCGGGGGTTACACTGTGGGGGAGGGACATACAAAGCAACAAAGAAATAATCTTATAAATGCGTTAGAAACACATGCATGAAAGAAACAAAAACATTAAAATACATATTTGAGGGTTCGTTTTCCTAACATCACATTATCTGACTTTTTCCGCTTGACTCATACCTATACTAGATATTGCAAATAAGGGAAACCATGGGACCTATGTTTCTTTGGGCCTGGCTTACTTCACTTAATATAATTTTTTCCAAGCCTTTCCATTTCCTAACAAATGGGGCAATGTCATTCTTTCTGATGGAGGCATAGAATTCCATTGTGTATATATACCACATTTTCTTGATCCATTCATCTACTGAGGGGCATCTGGGTTGGTTCCATATCTTAGCTATGGTAAATAATGCTGCAATAAACATAGTTGTGCTGGTAGCTTTAGTGTGGTCTTTTTTGTAAACATTAGGGTAAATGCCCAAAAGTGGGATTGCTGGGTCATAGGGGAGTTCTATGTGAAGTCTTTTGAGGAACCTCCATACTGCTTTCCAAAGTGGTTGAACAAGTTTACATTCCCACCAACAATGAAGTAAGGTTCCTTTCTGTCCACATCCCCTCCAGCATCTGTTGTTGTTAGAGTTCTTGATTTTTGCTGTTCTAACTGGAGTGAGGTGATATCTCAATGTTGTTTTGATTTGCATTTCTTTTATGGCTAGGGATGTTGAACATTTCTTCATGTGTCTATTGGCCATCCTTCTTTCTTCTTCAGAGAAGCTTCTCTTTAAGTCTTTCGCCCACTTACTTATTGGGCAGTTGTTTCTTTGAGGATTTGTTGTTGGGTGGTTTAATTTTTTGAGTTCCAAGTATATTTTAGATATGAGACCCTTGTCCGTTGTATGGCTAGTAAAGATCTTCTCCCAATCCGTGGGCTTTCTATTGATCTTGCTAGCTATGTCATTTGCCCTGCAGAAGCCCTGCAACTTTATGCAATCCCATTTATCCAACCTTTCTTTGATTCGTTGTGTTTCCGGGTCTCTATTCAAAAAATTTCAGCCTGAGCCAAGGAGACCTAGGGTTTCTCCTATTCCATCCTGTAATGTTTTCAGAGTGTCTGCTTTGAGTTCAAGGTCTTTGATCCATTTGGAGTTGATTCTGGTGCAGGGTGATATATAAGGATCTAGCTTTAGTTTTCTACATGTAGTTAACCAGTTTTGCCAGCACCATTTACTGAAGAGGCTGTCTGTCTTCCATTCTATTATTTTAGCTCCCTTATCGAAGATTAGATGGCTATAGGTTGGCACAGTAGATTCTTAACTTACTTACCTGTACCGGCTAATAAACCAGCCCTAGAGGTCAAATGTAATTTGGTAAATCTCCACCTTGGGACAGTGGCTCTGTCTCATGGGCTGGTCCTGAGAAGGGATCTCACACTCCAGTAAAAACTGCTGCTGAAGTAAAAATCACTGGTGTTTTCACCCTAGAAATGATTCCTTCCAGTCTATTGCAATTCACTTACTTGAACTCTTTTCTCATCCCATGCTAGGTCCAGGTTAGATAGAAAGTAGATAGCTTGCCAGGCACTGATGGTTCATACCTGTAATCCTAGCTACTCAGGAGGCTGAAATCTGAGGATGAGGTTCAAAGCCAGCTCAGGCAGAGAAGTCACTAGTTTATCTTCCAAGAAACTACTCAGAAAAAGCCAGAAGTGGTGCTGTGGCTCAAGTGGTTGGGCACTAACTAGTCTTGAGCACAGAGGCTCAGGGACAGTACCGGGGCCCTGACTTCAAGCCCTAGAACCAGTTAAAAAGAAAAAAAGTAGTTAGCTGCAATGACTTTCTGGTATCAGAACTGAGAGCACTGGAGGATGGGTAGCAAGGCCTGATTGGCCCTGTAGACAATGGTTAGTGTAAGGTATATATTTTTTGGGTCCGGTTGTGGGGCCCTCAGCTCTTCAGCTCAAGGCTAGTGCTCTACCACTTGAGCCACAGTGCCACTTCTGGCTCTTTTCTTTTTGCTTATGTAGTACTGAGGAATCAAACCCAGGGCCTCATGCATGCAAGGCAAGCGCTCTACCACTGAGCCACCTTCCCAGCCCCAGTGTAGGGTATATTAAGTAGGTAGGTTTCATTAGGTAGCCGATAAAGAGAACACCCTGTGTTCATGCAGGAAAAGAAGTTTATTTACCAAACTGCTGCCCCCCCCCCCCCACCATGTGTGGTAGAGGGGCATGGCCTGGGGAAAAAAAGGGGTGACCCATCCCTGAGCCAGGAC